CAGTTTGTTCCAAACTTGTTACAACAACTGGGAACAAGCAGTGCGAAGACAACTTGTTGACAGCTTGTGAACAGATTTGTAACGACTTGTTTGCAGACTTGTAACGACTTGTGCGTTTTTACGTGTGTAATCAGCTTATTTCAAAGCACACGTGTTTAAATAAATCTGGCAGGTGACGTGAGTTTATTTAGACAGGACAATAGTTGTACCTGTGTAGAGCAATCGCGCAAGACTATAAGCCAAAGTGAAACTAATTCACATTATCATATAGCATCCAATTCAATTATTACAAATTCAATATTTTCCCTGAAGGATATATATTATATGAATTAAACAAGATAGCTGTTAAACCACTTAGAGGTATATTAAAATATTTTTACTGTGTTTTGTTAGCGAATATATGAAATAATCAATTTTGTATTCCGTTGTTATCTGTGAAATATATATTTAGTTCCTATATGCAAATTATGTGTATATTTATTACAAAGTAGTACATATATAAAATATCCTACAAATTAAAACGTATAGAGTAACATATGCTAATGCATTTTTTATATGTGTGTAATCAAATTTTATCAGAGGAGCACTAAATACCAATTTTTTCTACTTGTATACAACATATAATAAAATAAATTTGTGTGTAGTGCCACAATTATAAGGCATTTTCTTTTATCTTACAGGGAAGATTAATGTATACAGTAGCTGTAACTGACTCAATCATGTGATCAAGAATTAAAAAGATGGATGTTCCAAAAATTTCTGTTTTAATTGTCGTTTTCATTATTCACAAAACTATTCGTAAGTTAATGCTATACTGTATTATGTTGAGAATTCATGGCATTCCAAAAAATTATCCCAATATAATCCCATTTGGGTCAACTTAATATTGCTGGTTTAATTTCCAGGTTATTTTAACATTCTCCTGCCATTGTTTGGTTAATTTGACCATGACTTCTTGGTCAACCAGGGGTTCTGGTTATATATCCACATAGTCAGATCATTGTCTATCAAGATATACTATATGATGGTCTGGGAATTAAACACAAGTGTTTGTTATATGTTTTTATATAATACCTTATTGAATTCTGATCGTTTAATTGGGGTATGACTAAAGGGAGAGTTACCAACCGGAGAGTTATCTCGGAGAGTTATGATTTCGGAGAGTTATGTTCGAACCACGCCCAAACCACGCCCACTTTCCCCAATGACCACACCCAATTTCGTAACTCTCCCGACGTTTCCTTGAAGTAACATGAGAGAGTTATGTTTGACGTAACTCTCTCTCGCTAACATTATGAAATGTTAGAGAGTTATCATTTTTCGTAACTCTTCGCGTTCACGATTATGGCAATGAAGAGAGTTGTGTTAGTTTTTTGAGAAAACCTTTAAATAGTAAAGCTTGTTTCTTCAGATTTCATCTTATATTTTGGTATTTCAGTTTGCAGCGTGTCAATAGCGTGCGCCAAAAATAATGAGATGCTTGCCACAGAAGGGTCAAAGTACCCCCAGAAGCATGTTTTGACGTGTATTTGGCAGTAAATACGGTAAGCATAGTTGCAAGAAAATTGAAAAAATTGCGAAAATTGAATCTTTCAGAAATTCAGGTTTTGCAAATATTTTCCCATATCAGCCAATATATATATAGGGCATTAAATTGGAAAGGTTTTCTGGTTCTATCTAATACGACAGCTGTATCTGAATGTTGGGCTTTGTAGGTAATCCAAGTGAGCATGTATAATAATTTATTTACTCGTACTCGCTTCACTTGGTAAGTACTAAGGTACTACCAGTTTCTACTAGCGTTGAATATTAAAACTGAAACTTGAGAAAAAAGTAAATTCACAACAATTTACTAAAATGTGGACGTTTTTTTTAAAAAACTGACATAACTCTCTTCATTGCCACAATCGTGAACGCGGTGAGTTATAAGAAATGATAACTCTCTAACATCTTCATAATGTTAACGAGAGAGAGTTACCTCAAACATAACTCTCTCATGTTAGTTCAAGGAAACATCGGGAGAGTTAAGAAATTGGGTGTGGTCGTTGAGAAAAGTGGGCGTGGTTCGAACATAACTCTCCGAAATCATAACTCTCCGAGATAACTCTCCACTTCATAACTTTCGGTTTAGCCGGTCCCGTTTAATTGGCTGTTTATGGTCAAAAGAATACGTTCCATTGCGCTCTTTGCGAGTGCAATTGTGTTTTATTCCATTGCACTCTTTGTGTTTTCGATAAATTGCATCCGTCAAAATGCTTCTCATACGAATCTATTAGTCTATATTGGTATTATATAAAACAAATAATGAATGTTTATGAGTGCAATGGTAAGAATATTTTCATTCGGTTAAAGATGGAATGTTCCATTCAACTCGGCTGTCGCCTCGTTGAATGGAACATTCCATCTTTCACCTCATGAAAATATTCTTAGGCCTACCATTGCACGAATAAATATTCATTATTTGTATATTGTCTGATTTTCAGCCATTGTTTTGGGAAAAACAATAGTTACTGCTCGGAGAAGTCTGAGTAGTAACTATTGCCTCATAATTACTGCTGAGGGAGTCGATCAGAATGCTCAAAGGCCATTTTTCAATACTGAAATTATACTGAATAAATTATACTGCAATTAATATGAAAATTCGATTTCCATAATAACTTTTTCAACTAAAGGCTCGTTTACACTTGCAATTTTTGCTGCGATTTTAGGTGCGATTTTCTGATGGATGTGATTGAGTGGATAAGTTATGAATGTTCAGACGAGAGGGTACATGTACTCCAAACATTCGTAACTCATCTACTCGTTCACATCCATCAGAAGTAGAAAATCACACTAGAAATCGCAGCAAAAATTGCAAGTGTAAACAGGACTTAAAGTGCCTATATCACCAGTGGGACCACTGGGACCTTTATGGGTTTGAAAAGAGCGTAAAAAGTTAGTTAATAAGTTCAAAAGATTTTTTTGATTGATTTAGTGCAATAATTTCGATGATACAGACCTCTAACACAATGGGCAATTTGGAAAGAGTTTAGAGTCCAGGAGGCTGAGACTCAGGAACAGTCCATTGTTTAGAGGCCTGTATCCTCAAAATTATTGCACTAAATCAAAAAAATCTTTTGAACTTATTAACTAACTTTTTACGCTCTTTTCAATAGCGATATAGGCGCTTGAAGATGCATTCTGTATTTCCATGGTAAGGATTTTGAAAACAATTTCCAGTGGTGTTTTTAGTAGACAAGTCATTTTTTAATGCTTTTCAGGTGCTGACCTTCAATTATTCGAGTCAAACAACGGTCATTGCAATGAAAGTTCCATAAATTACAACATTGTGTTTAAGGCGGGCCACCATGCAGGGACATTTCAGAAAGAAACGGACATTTATGATATGGTATCATGCATTGATAAATGCTGTCAGACACAGGACTGCGATGTTGCTTTCATGTCGCGGGAAAACTGTTATTTAGTGGACTGTTACAGCATTGAAAGCTGTGTGACGAAACATTTGAAGAGACCAAAATATGAAACGATGCTCTCTTTCGTAGCACGGGCCAGAAGAAATCGACCAAGTAAGAATTACGTTTGCTAAAACCATTTGTTAAACTCAGTTTTGTCCTTCGACTTTTCTCGAAAGGCACGAAAAGTCTTCAGTGTAGTCCAGCCGCTTAGGAGATACGCCTTGGTCAATGAAAATGAGAGTTGATGAAAGTTTAGAAGCGAGAATTTGCATGAGAGTTTTCTCAACTCTCATGCTCCGGTCAAACGAGAACAAGAGTTGCATGAGAGCTGCATGAGAGTTCATGAGAGAACAAGAGTTGCATGAGAGCTGCATGAGAGTTGCATGAGAGTTGCAAGAGAGTTGCATGAGAGTTGCACGAGAGTTGCATGAGAGTTGCATGAGAGTTGCATGAGAGTTGCACGAGAGTTGCATGAGAGTTGCACGAGAGTTGCATGGGAGTTGCATGATAGTTGCATGAGAGTTGATGACAGTTGAGTTGAGTTGATGTGAGTTGATGTTTGCAAAAGTCGACAATATTAATATAATTTGCTCGAAATTTTATCAAGAACATTAATCTCGATAGAGAAAAACTTAATTATCATCGAACAAAGTCCCAGTGGACAGGAAACATCCTTCTGATAGCAGATGTTTGGGCATTGCTTTTTGAAATTCATTGTCAGTATAAATGGTCGAATTTCGAAAGGATGCCCAATACAATCAAGCCTAATAGTAACGTCAGATCATTTTATTAAAACAGCTGGACTATACTACTTGGTGTTAAGTCCTTTTAGGATTGTGAATAGTTTATTTACATGAATGGTATATATTTGTTTAAGAGTTTGCAGAGGACAATGGAGCAACATTTACTGGAAGTTTCCAGAAAAATTCTCCGCAAATGGATCACCCTTTGATATTAAATGCATCAAAACAAAGTAATAGAGTATCGAACCTTCAGGTGAGTTTTGTCACCGATCACAATCCAGGCTTACGGATCGTGAAAGTAGGGCTGGTTTTCTATTGGATATTTATCACTTATTTACTGAGACCGATGGAAACAGTGTGTTTTGTGGACCCGAGACGTCGCCATATCAATAGTCAAAAAAACAACAAATTAAAGAACAAATGAACGTAAATACATGAAATATTTTATTGTTAAAACGTTATATTAAACACTGGCTACACTGCAGTTACTTAAAGCGAAAGTTTTAATTACGTACTAGGCATGTCCAAAGGTCGCACCTTCGCGTGATGGCGCACGTGATTTTTATCAGTTATAGACCTGAAACGAGGGGTATTTGTGGAATACCCCGAGTGAAAGGTCTATAAATGGTATATTATACCGAACCTTTCAAAAATAAGTAGAAAACAAATACCATTCAATTAACTTTTAATTTCAAAACACAACTTTTGATAACTTTACATTTAAAAAAGTCGAATTTCCCGCTCAAGCGTGGTATTCGAAGTCGAATACCATGGCCCCGGGTAAAACACCCAGGGTTCAAATTGCCTAGGTCATAGTATTCGCCGAAAAATACCATGGTCATGTGGTACAAATTTAGTTCTCTGATTGGACAAGCTCATTGTGAGGTATAATATTTTTTGTTATTCGCCGGTGGATAACGTATTATCTCCCTCTCGCGCTGTTGCGAGGGAGACAGCCTAATTTCGTCACTCTCACGTGATATGCTCTCAACCAATAAAACACTAGAAAAATGCGACTTTGACTATTGATATATAATGTTTTTTACTCAACCGAAACAAATGATAATTTCCACAAAATATATTAAAATTAATTTTTTTCGACGACTGAAAGGCGTAAGGGTGGATAACATAATTTTGTCAGCTCCTATACTGAACCTATTTATCTGAATATTTCAGCAAAAATACCCAGAAAGCATGTCTACACGTCGTTCAGAGATCATCGATATTATATTGGCTGTAGGCGCATCGATCGTGGCTTTGTCTGCGGCAATTATTGGAGTAATTACAGTGAAGAGAAGATTAACGGACCGCAGTGAACGTTCGCAATATGAAACGATTAGATGAAGTAAAATTCTGACGTGAATTTTACTAAGCTTCCTGCAAGAAAAATATAATATTTGGATTTTTAGCGTTTCAACGCGAAAAAAATTCCGTCATTAAGCTTCTAAAGAATGAAGCATTCCATGATAAGCATTCCGTGATAAACTTTTAAACAATTAATAATATTTAACTAATTATAATGACCTTATATAGTATTTCTCATATTTCATTCATTCCGGATGGTGACTAAAATCTAGTCGAATCGTCGAATAAACACTTTTCAAAATAATTTTGTAGTTCGACCTATTTGATTTATTACAGCTCGCCATTTGCTCGCCTTTAACTTTAGATATTACATATAGATTATCATATAACACACCATATATAAACACCATATAGTAACAATTACGACAACATGTTAATATCACGAGGGTGCAATGCGGCTCATCCTTTTTGGTACCAGGCTACTCAATGTCATCAAACGGGTTGGTCGCCCTCTGGTGACTCCGTCTTGAGTCCCCGCGATGGAAAACGCGTCGGGCAGCGGTAGCACTTGATTATTCAAGAATTTCCTGTATAAATTCCTGAATGCACAGCGGAAATTCCGGTTAAACAGGGCATACAAAACCGGATTCATTGCGCTGTTCGTCATCGCCAGGACCGTTGTTCCGGTATACACAGCTTGCGGGGGATCGAATCCCCGGTCGGATAAAATCATCTTCAGGAGTCTATACAGCATAAAAGGCGCCCAGCAACCCAAAAAACAAAAAAGTACTATGAGGAGTAGCTTTACTACTTTCTTGCGCGCCTTTTGTGCGGCTTCTTGATTCTCTGAAGTTTGGTTTCCAGGAATTTTCCGTTTCCATAAAATTCGTGCGATTCCGTAGTAGAAAAACGCAATCATGGAAAACACCAGAACAAAAACAAGCGCTTTTATCAGTTCGAACCGTTTCGTTTCCTCGGATCCTCGCCAGACTTGGAGGCATACGTCAGCAGGCCGAGTAAGCGAACTGGTGTCGGGTTTTATCAACACTGAGGGAACAGAGAGCATTGTGGATAGAAGCCACGTGACTACTAAGAGTACATTCACTTTTTGGAAAGTCATCCATTGTTTATGAGCATGCACGATGGCGAGATAGCGGTCCCCACTGATCGCTAAAAGTGCAAACGAGGAGCCGCTCAATGACAGATGGATGCAAAAGTTTGTAAAATAGCACATACTTTCACCCAAAGTCCAATCTGGGTAGGTTAACATATGGTTAAGTACTAAAGGACAAGATATGGTAGTCACGATCAGGTCAGCACAGGCCAGATTTGCGATGAATATATTTGTGATGGTTTTCATTGATGGTACCTTGGTGACAGCTAGGATAACGAGGACGTTGCCGATCACTCCGATACATATGATGATAATGTAGATAAGATCGAAAAAGATCCTCACATCCTCTGATATCCACTGGAAATGTGAAGTGGTGATGTTTGTTTCGTTTGTTAGATTATACATGATGTGTCTTTGGGTTTTTATTGTTGGTTGACGTTGAATTCATTCTGTTAAGAAAGGAACAGTTTTTGTTATTTATTTATTACTGGATAGCTCTACTAGTTCTAAACTATACTCGGCTCTCCCTTAGAGGTCTAGTAAGGATCATCTCTTATTGATCCAGTGTTACTACAGGAGGAAACCTTAGCTAAACTAAACTAACTTTATTTATACTGGATAGCTCTATCAGTTCTAAACTGTTCTTCCTAGAGGTCCAGCCGTCCAGGATCCAAGGATCATCTCTTATTCCTAAGAGATCCAGTAAAGGTGCTACTACAATCTTATACCTATCTACAGAAATGGTGGACTAATTTAAAATTAGCATTAATAACGGATGACATAAAAGCAATAACTGCGATCAAATGTATTTTAAAACATCACCGTAAAGCCCAAATGGTATGGAAGATTGCTATTGGATTGTAGTATATTTGTTTATCAACTTGTGTCTGTCAAAAACGCAGCTAAGGCAGCTTAAAGGCACAGTTCAGCCTTTTGAACGATGGTTTTTAAGGCGCATTTGAGCCCTTTTAATTGAAAAAACTAACTAGGAAAATCAATTAAGCATAATTCAAAATCAGTAAACTCGATGTTTTTAACAATATAAATGTTTTAAAATGTTAAAAACTTTAAGTTTGGTGATCTTGAATTATGCTTAATTGATTTTCCTAGTTAGTTTTTTCAATTAAAAGGGCTGAAATGCGCCTTAAAAACCATCGTTCAACAGGCTGAACTGTGCCTTTAACTTAAGTTGACATGCAGAGTATCAAAATGTATCAAAGTGATGAACAGACAACTTGCATGTTAGACAAATTTTTTATCTAGCCAATCTAGGCACAAAAAAAGTAAATTCTCGTTAAGAACTTATTAAAATTAGTAAAAGTGCAAAATTTCGTTGCAAAATGTTGTAAAGCTTGGAAAATATAGCCTTGCAAAGTTTGCATATTTTCAGTATATTTGTATTACTTGCGGAAATTGTTACCATTTTTGAGCCGAAAATGGTAACAATTTCCGCTCGTAATACAAATATACTGAAAACTTGCAAACTTTGCAAGGCTATATTTTCTAAGCTTTACAACATTTCGCACCCAAATTTTGCACTTTTACTAATTTCAGTATGTTCTTTTTAGCTGTTGTGTTTTATCCCCTTTTCTCCGCTTAGATTAAATTTTAGTCTAACATGCAAGTTGTCCATTATTTTCCCTATGGATTCGAGACGTCTGTTTAATTATAGTATCAAGGATAACAAACAACCACATACCAAATTTGACAAGGCTGCACAAAATGAAAGAACTGTTTATATTGAACCACTCTCGAGCATATTTTTCATACTTTCATGTATACTTCGCTGATTTTGTATATAAATATAATAAATCCCAAATATACTGAAGTATGCATCACATGAATAAAGATCAAATGCCTAAAGACGTTCAGTAAAACCGATCCAACACGCATGCATGCATATGTCTCATCAATTTATGTATACATAATATATAACAGCAAGTTGACATAGGTGCAAGGTGAATTATTAATTTCCAAACACAGCTATGCGTTCAATGGCGCTTTCCATTTAATGGCCAGACTGGTCATACCAGAATTTCCCTCACACGTATTAATGGAAATTAAGATCTAGTGGCGAAAATGAGTCTCCGTCAAAATTGATCCAAATTTTCGGATTAGATTGGCCCGAAGTCCAAATGTATTGTGTTTCATTCAACAATGTGACCGTTCTGACCACGGCCTCGCCGTGTTAATGCATGGAAAGCTCCCCAAATGTCATATAGCGTCAAAAATATCACTTAGCTATATCGTATGAAAAAAATGCCGATTATTGAAATATAATACTTTGGCCCAAAACTTTGAAAAATAGAAAATGCGAAAAAAAGACGCAACATCAATTCCGGTTGAAGATAATCATACAGTGGAGTATTTCTTAAATACATGCAGCATTAAACATTTAAACCTTCTCTAAATACAGATCCATATAAGTAATATAACTATATGGTGGAGAGAATTATATGGCGGAAACTACTTAAACTTACAAAAAGTCGTAAATTACAAAAACTTTTGGTAATTGCATGATTGAAAGATCTCTACTTTAGTGTAAATGAATATTGAAATACATGCATGTATAATTATAGGGAGACATTTTTTGTTGTTAATTGTTGAAACAAAATTAACTTCTTTCCTCTAAATAGTTGCATGTGCAGGTTTTCATTGGGTACAGGTGATTCCTAAGACCACAGTAATACTGGATCAATAATAAATTATCCTTGCTAGATCTGTATATGAAAAACAATTCGGAACTGATATAGAGAAATCCAGTATTAGTTGGATACATGCATTCAGTTAGTTTAGTTTGTATATATATAAATATTATAGGACCAACAAGGGCTGGCCTTTATATATATTCGATATCTGCAAATGGAGCAGTTTCAAGCTGATAAAGCTATCCAGAATAAATATAAATTTGGTTCAGTTATAGCAGAAGTACATTATAGAGCTGTCAAAAGCCATCTAATATGGTCCATATAGTTGACTTTGATTGAATATATTTGCATAAAATTCATCAACCGCGGCTACTGTTTCCATTCAATTAGAATTGTAATTAGAATTTTAATTAAAATCTCTCTCATATAATTACTTTGGAGCACCGATAACAATTTAACAAACACAACGGAAATAATGTCTGAATATTTATCATGGTCATCAATGCCAAATTTACACGATAAAAATGCAGTATATTTTCACGAAGTATATATATTATTACGTAGTTTGGTTCACGAAATGTTAAAGAGTGCTTGATACAATATAGTCGATAGATAGAGCAGAAATAATTGTTTTACCTCAAAAGGTTGCCACAAAGCTTGTTCGTATATATACATATAGCTTAAGTTTTTGGTTTACGAAACACAAACAGTGCTCAATAGACAATACCAAATAGATAGAGCGTAATATAGTTTTTCGTTTTATCTCAAAAAAACCACAACAGTCTGTTTCAACCGTATAGAAAATACAACAGTCTGTTTCATCCACAAGAAAATTTAAGATTGAAGATATATAGATATACGAAAATTTAAAATTATAATCTTTTGTCAGAATACATGGAATTCTTTTTTTGGTAAAAATATTAAATTTCATTATTCGCCCATGCAAACTCAGTTGTGCGATTTGCATTTTCAAAAGCGGAATTATGCATCAGCCGCATATAATCCTATATATTATAATATACTTAACTTGTATATGATATAAATTTAAAACATGTAATTGTGTCCTTTTCATGCACAAAGCCAAAATAATTCAAAGTCAGCGTATATTTGACATATACATATAAGCATATATATAAAACCTTTACCTTTTATTAAGCCAGTATATATGCATACGTTTAAAGAATCTACCACAAAGAATATTTCAAGATTATCATAGGCCATGTAATCCTATATATAAACGTAGTTTATTCTTACTGTAATAATATACAATGAAAGAATTACTCAATTCCGATTGGCTAAGAGAAGTGCAAATTTATCCACATACACTCCCAAAAATGTAATTCAGCGCCAAAAAAGTAATATGCGGCAAATGTCCAAACACAATCACTTTGGTTTAAGTTTTGACTTCTTACAGCTACCAACTTGTATTAAGTTGTTGTTCCTTTCAAATGAGCGAGCAAGTCACTCATCATTGCATGTGTTTCATGCATGCATGTTCACCATAAAGTTTGTTTTATTCGTTCTTCTAGATTATTACAAGATTAAATAAGTTTTGTCTATAACGTTTCGGTTTCCTGCACGAAAACCATTTTCAAAGACTTGAACGTTTTTTCATCATGAAGTGTTAAACAAGTATTAACGCTATACGTTTCGAACGAAATTACTGAAGCTCATGTGCATTTCTAGAATTCTAGTATTAACTATATTTCTATTCTATAGTATTAACTATTTCTAGTATAATGCCCCATACAGACGGGCGAGTTTTCCTTGACAGCTCTTGACAAGTTTTCCTTCACGAGTGTATCGCAAAATAATAACAATTTTTCCTTTGTGAAGGAGCCTTGTTCCAATGCTATAGTCATACCAACTTTTGGACAAGGAAAATTTGTTCGTGTCATGTACGGCCGCCAAGGAAAACGTGACAGGTGTACGAGAAATATACAGTAGGCTACTTCGATGGTTTTGGCAAATAAAAGGCGGCCTTGTCGTGAGATAAATATTTAACAACATTCCGCGTACACACAGCAACAAAACTTGTCAGGAAACTTGTCAAGGAAAACTTGTTGACCGTACACACGAAAAGATAAACTTGTATGAAGGAAAACTCACTTGTCTTTATCGGGCTTTAAGGCCTAACAACTGCCACTGTGAAATTTCTAAATACATACATAGTATAGTCCGTTTATATATAAAGAGAGATTTCTATAATAAGCTAAATTGGTAAGACTAAAAATGTTTTCCTACTTTTTGTTCAAAAAACTATACAGTACAGCAAGACACGCATTAAGCAAAAACAAGACATTTAACAAACATTAGATAATGTATAAAGTAGTATGTCAAGATAATTATTGCAAACAAACTCTAGACTAACCTTTTAAAAAATCTTCCACAAAACCCTTCCAGATCTTTCTTGTTTCAGAAAAATAACATTTCAAATAGGCAAAGCATTCTCGTAATTTCAGCAAGCTAAATATGAAAAAAACTAAGCTTTTGTACATTTAAAATTAAAATGTATAATTTCAAGTACGTTTCGAGATAAAAACACACATGAAGCTTTTAGCATGCAATATTAATGCTTGCCACTTATTGGCTAAAAGAAAATAACATTAGCCTATATAGTGAGTTAAATTACTTCACAGCTTGTTTTTAAAATGCTTACCTTCCGGCAGAATTTATTTAACGATTTTCCAAACAGTGTCAATTGAAGGTGCTTTCCCACTATATTTGATGTAAGCTTAATTTATCAGCTGTTTAATTGGGGAAATGGCGGCAGATGTGAAGGATATGTCGTTTTAAACGGTTTTAGTTAAATTTATGCACGCTGTTTCTTTCTTCAGAGCTTTCTAAGCTAGACCGTTGAAACCAGAGTGAACTGAGATAAAATTTGGCTATAGCATTTGCTGATAACTGATCAGAATGTCGGCTTAGCGAAATGGGATTATATTGGCAATTTGGCATTGACACTTGGCAGATATTGCCCAAAGAGCAAAGCGGTTGTTTTCTTTGCTTATCGTTTCCGTTTAAGTTACATAGTTTTCGGTATGGATGTTGCCTCTTATTAATCCTAATTTATTTTTCAAAATAAATTGCTCCCATGTAACATTAATGAGTCAATATAAAGGTCAGGTATATATTTGTTTCCAACGGCGGGATCAGCTGTGCTGTTTTCTAACAAATCGCATGGCGGCACTCACGTTTAACGATTTATCCTTCAAAACGGGAATTTTGCATGAATTAAAGAATTTCTAATTCCAGCGAGTTGAAGTCCTTTTAATTAAGATAGCTGTTTAAGTGGGGTGTGCTAATCATCCTTTCTTCTAACTGAGAGCTATAAGTTGAATTGGGAACAACGCAGCTCAACCTGATCGAACCGAAGGCTTTCTATAAGGGCGCCTCTGGCAGCCACCTTATGACTCATGTCTGATCACGGAGCACAGCTACGGTGGACGGGTCAGTTAGGGGGCGAATCCCAACCCAGGCCTGTCAACATTCCTTGTAGGAGGAAACCGGAGTACCCCAGTGCTCTCACTTTTAAGGAATTATCCTTAAAAATAGGAATTTTGAAGTGTTTTAAGGATTTTTTTAAGGAATTTAGGTTTTGAGGATTTTTTTTAAGGAATTTCCGAAACATTTTATCCTGGACTAAAAACGTTGGATGGAGGATAACCCATGCCAAGCAAATGAGATTTAAACTTGAAAGTAGCAACATTATACGCACATAATTACATATATTCGTATGTTCTCTATGTCATAAATGTACATATGGCTGTCTTCCATTAAAATTCTCAAAAGTTGAATGTCAGTATATGCTGTTTCTTCTGAAATCTACAGATTTTCTAAGCTCTTCATGCAGCAACGATTAAAAATACATCATGTTGAATGTTTTCTTTATGGCATTATGCTAACAATCAAATGTTTGGAGAAAATGGAGAAAAAAAAACTTTTTGCAACTATATGATCAGGCCTTGTAGTAATTTTACCAATTTAAGGAATTTTAAGAAAATCTGAGGAATTTTCGAGCTTTTTGTAAGGAATTCGAAAATTTGATTGTGAGAGCACTGGAGTACCCGGAAAGAGCCTACGACTTTCGGTAGAGCGTTGATGTTTTCACATAACTGCGAGTCCTCAGCGATAATCAAACCCACGTAAATTTTAACCTAAAGATTAAAAGGTGATGCTATGACGATCGCGTCACCGAAGTCCCAATATTTCACTTAATATCTATATCAAGAGAACCTCTAAACAACGGGTACCTCACGGATAGTCACGGAAACACTTGACTTGAACTCATCGAGCAGAAATCAAGAATTTTTGGGGGGAATTTCAAAGGTCTTGCTGAGGAATTGTGAAATTTGATTCTAGGCTATATAAGATGCTAATGTTTATGTTTATTTATTTTCCCGCCAAGATGAAAATTGAACTCATCGAGCAGAAATCAAGAATTTTTTTAGGAATTTCAAAGGTCTTGCTAAGGAATTGCGAAATTTGGTTCTATATAAGATGCTAATGTTTATGTTTATTTATTTTCCCGCCAAGATGAAAATTGAAGAATTTTCTCGCATCCATATTGCTTTTAACACCAAAGATGGCAAACGTTAGAGAGAAAACTTAAATTGTAACCCTTCCGGGAATAATAACCAGACAAAAAGCACATTTAGGTAATAAAAATGTTAATTTTTGCAGATTTTTAACAATCGGCGGTAAGAATGAATTCGGACGCTCTGAATCGGCCGCTATATTCGCTATAATTGCTGTAATTATAAGTCTCGTATATTAATTAATTTAAGTGTCGGAAGGGACAATTAAAATATACCTGCATGTGAAGTTGCTATATTTTTCCCAAGAGAACTTTGCATATGTTTAAGACTATTAAATAGTTTTCATCCCAGCCGCGTTGGATATATTGTTAATGGTTGATGTACTACTATTTCCTAGGCATTTTTTCGTTTGTTTTCCCCCGCCATATTTATGTGGCTTTAATTACCGTCACGCGTTTTTTTTTGCGCCTTTTCCTAAACATCAATATTGATATATGTTTTTTTTTATTATTCTAAACACTTTTTTGACGCAATTTTGATTTTCAGGTACCCTCTTCCTTGATATAATGATATTCTCTCGTACCCGTGAACAGGCTCTGAAGGAGGTGAACCTTTGCAGGCATTTTATAATATTTTTCATGCGATATAATTATTCATAATTTAACTGTTCTTCATCGTGCTCCCTTTTCGAATTTACATAAAAAACTATTAATCAAGGACGTCAATCCCGAGGGGATGGGGGGACACACCTCCCCCCACACAGCTATCTGAGGTGGGGGTTAAATATATAATCATCCCCCCTCCACACACACACACTTTTTACCATATTTTCCTTACTCTATAGCTAGGATTCACGATACATGATTAACAGTTATTCAGCTTAACAGTTATTCAGCGTCTGAATGACATTATGACTGACATCATTTTGCGATTGAATTTTTCAAAAAAAATATTTTTCAAAAACTCGATCTTCTCCAAATGAGCATATAACAACCTTTGAAAACGTCCCATTCCACAGCAGCTCTGTTTCAATTGGGCAACAAAGACTTGCATAAATTTTGCCCTAAATATACTTGTTGTGAAACTATTGCAAAATCTAAAGGGGAACATGCTTCCAGGTGTGCTCACCGGTTCCGCCCTCCCCCCCCCACACACTTTCTGGAATAGATTATTCCCTTTGCTATGAATTTTATGTTCCAAAACTTGTTTCACATACCAATGCGTCCCGTATTATTTCCATCTACTGGTGGCGCGTGAATTCTTCTCGAGCTTGATCTGCGTACCTGCAAATTCGAACAACGAGTCAATATTGAATGAAAAGAACAGTACCTGTCATCTTGAGATGAAATCAATGGAAGATGTAATTTAGCGAAGAAAATACAGCCATATGCTAGTAAAATCAACATGGATATACTAAATTATGTGATGGCTAAAGACATTGGTGGCAAAGTGGATCAAATGTCGGAGTAATTGGAAAGAAATAACGGTTGTTATGGTATGTCACGTGAATTTTGTTTATAACTTTGTAAATCACTTATCACTTTGTAAATATAATTAATACTGCGTTGCTAAATATAATTATTATATAAGAATTTTAAGATAGAAAGATCCCATACAACGATTTTGTTTAATAAGGGGAAAACAACGCATTTATAATTCGGAAGAGATTCGATCCGCAAGCTCGACTCTTTATAAGCGCCAATAATATGCCGTGAAGATTCGAGCATACGAATGCCTTGCTATGTAATCATTCGATTTTTACTGAATTTTCCGCAAAAAAGAACTGTAACTATTCATCGTTTCTTTTCGTTTATCATTCACTGACGATTTCTGAAAAACAAGGTAGAAATATACTTTGCTTTTCAGAAATCGACAGTGAATGAGAAACCGGAAAAGAAACGAAATTCGCCTTCATCTAGCCACTGAACTTAAAGCATTCTGACAAGACAATTTTACTTCTAATAGGGAAAATCCAACGTACCGGTACATTGAATGTTTAAAGTTTTGGTTGTTTCTAAACTTGCGAATTTAATGCGATAGTTTGCGACAAAGGCACGACATAAATTTTGGATGACAATTATAGTAGAAAGCGTCGACGACCTTTACATGAAATGTAGGAAATAATAACACCAGTATCTAGTGACCAAATTCACCAAATATCGTTCTGTAAACTAGATTCAATCTTGTAAAGTTCGTTATTTTCTGATGCTACAGAATTTCTCCTAATATGTTAATTCCATCACTTCTGCTGGCTATATCAATATGGATAAACCTCTGGCCTGATGTAGCGATGGCTCAAGGTAGGGTTTATATATAATTTTGGCAAGCTGAAACAACCCTCGTAAAACTCACTAACACTCTGAAAAACTCACTAAACCATAACTCCATAATTGTGTTCTTCTTAGAAAAACCCTATAGAAGGGATTCCTTGTTAGTTCAGTGTTAACGTGCTACATGCAGGATGAAAAACCTTTTGTAGAGAGTAACAAGATGTTTTGTAGAGAGTAACACTTCTCAGAAACAACTGAAGCGAAATTATACTCAGACACTTGCATATGGCATGAATAAGAACTCGTTCTTAGAATTTAAAGACACAAACCAAAAAAATTAAATACTCCACAAAATTAATCTTGAAAACCACATTATTCCATAGTTTTCCAGTATTTCTTGGTGGACAACAACAAACAGACGGCATCGGTGTTGGACACCATAAAACTACCAACATGCACGCATATAGACCTGAAACAAAACGTCACCCTTCGCGGTGGCATAAAATCTGGAAATTTCACCAAATTGGGTGAGGTGGCAGACATGCAAACGTGTATCGACGCTTGCTGTCAGGATTTGAAGTGTGACGTAGCCTTTATGGCAGAGACGACTTGTTATAGTTTAAGGTGTTTTAGTGACAGACTCTGTCAGACTGTGCCTGCGAAGCCACGAAGGAGTAAAAAGAATGTTCAGATTTCACATATAGTGCGAGGAGGTGGGAGGGGCGATGATCTCGAGACGTTTAGTCAACAGCAAGGCATTGAAAAATATGGTGAGTGATGCAATGATTTAGTATTAGTCACGGTTAGGTGTCACCATCATCATCGCCCTCAGTATGATAATCAACATGATCGTCTTCATCACCAACACCATCACTATAAAACTGTCACCATCGCAACCATCATCATAACCATACATTTATTAAGTATTCTGCCCTGGTTAGGTTTAAGTTATCAGGGTTATCATTAAGGGTTATCATCATCACCACCATTATCAACCATTATCACCACCATCACAATCACTACCATAACCAAGACCATTATCATCATCACTACCATCATCATCACCACCACCATCACCACTATTCCTACCATAACCAAGACTATCATCATCACATCCATCATCATCATCACCAAAACAACCACCATCATCATCACTACCACCATCGCCACAATCATTTCGTGTTGACTAATGAAAAACATGTTTTCAATACATGTATATAGCCATTGTCATTTCATCCATTGCTTTCATGACGATGGAATCCAGAATCTACGAGTCAGATTCCTTCATTGAAAAACTATACCATGGCATAACCTCATATATTATCTTTATTTCAGTTCCAAAAGACAAGACCAAAAGAATTTGCACGCCAAGCAAAAGTGTCTACAACTCGTCTCTACGAGGAGGAAAATACGCTGGAAACATGGCACCACTAAACGTCTCAAATATTTACGAATGTATTGAAAGATGCTGCAACAGACCGCAATGCGATTTAATTTACTGGCGGAAGGGAAGATGTCACGCCGTTTCTTGCTATACGGATGAACTGTGTAAAAGTAGTCAGGCGGATAACAAAGAAGAGAATATTTTGGTTTATATCAATACAAGGCAGCATAGACGACTAAAGGACAAAGGTAATACAGTTTTCTTCTAAGTATCATATACGAACGAAACTCATTTGATTCCTCGTTGAATAGAAAGATTTTGTTTTTGAAAAGATCTTCCTTCGCATATTCTGAATCTTAGGGGTATGCAGCAAAGAATGTACAAATGGTTTATGCATCAAAGATAACACTTGTGCATGTGACGTTGGCTTTCAAGGAAATCAATGTAATCGACCAGCAAAAAAAGGTAATATCATCATTTGTCGTTGGTGGTGGTGTCGTTGCAGCTGCTGCTGTTGTTGCTATTGTTGTTGTTGCTGTCGTCGTGGTTGTTAATCTTTCTATTAAAATAGTGCTGCTGCTGATGTTGTTTTTGTGAATCGACGTTGCCTTCGTTGTTGTGTTAGTTGTTGCTGTCGCTTGTTGCGCTGTTGTTTGCTTTTTATTGACGCTAGTGCTTCTGAGCATTTTTTCGCTCGATTTTCATTTTACAGGATTTTGTGGCGAGCAAGGATGCGGGCATAATGGTCGCTGTCATACAAACGACACCTGCGTTTGCAGAAAAGGATATTTCGGTTATTTTTGTGAAAACACATGTATGTATGATAAATAGTTAAGATTAAGTTAATAATATAAAAGAATAGTTAGCCTATTTACGAACACCCTTCTCTCCAAATTTCCCATTTTAGATACCATCTAATGTCAACATTTCATATTTTATCTACTTTTAATTGATTTTCAAATATTAATGCATAAAATGCCAAAAGTAATAATGAGCAATTTCCATATATGCCAAGCTAAATAGTTTTTTGTGGCTTTCAATTTTTCTTCAACACGACGTAAAGCATAAGATATTTACATCATAATAAAGAACTTAAAATTCTTAAATTTCCGTTAAGTTTCAGTTTTCCTTTTTCCGACTAGCATATCGTATTTCTTCCCACTTTAGTACAATGTCGCCCTAAATGCCAACATGGCGTGTGTCTGGATAACTCAACCAAAAACTACAAGTGCAGATGCGATATTGGATGGGAGGGAACACGCTGCGACAAGGCTAATGGAGGTGAATATTAAAAACAATTTTTCTTACCTTATAATGATGCGCGATTCTAATTTCAGCAGAACATCCAAGCATCACAGCATTTCACCTCAAACTTTCTTTTTAGATATTGTAGTGGCTTCTGATGATGGAGAGGAAGTATTATTTACAAAATTCAAGGAAAAAGATAATTTTATGGGGGTGAGATTTAGATTTAAGCCCTTAAGCAATGTTTAAATAACGATACCTCAAATGTGGAGGTCCATTGTTTGTAGTATTCTACAATAAGTTATCGTAGTCAAACGTGGTGGTCTAGCCTAGGTAGTATTCTACAATATGCTGCCGTGGTTTGTGTCTGAACTATCTGAAAAAGGTATCTCAAACGTGGTGGTCCAGTGTAGGTAGTATTCTACACTAAACAGCCGTGGTTTGTGTCTGAACTATCTGAAAAAGATATCTCAAACGTGGTGGTCCAGTGTAAGTAGTATTCTGCAATAAGCTGTAATGGTTTGTGTCTGAACTACTTGAAAAAGATATCTCAAACGTGGTGGTCCAGTGTAGGTAGTATTCTACAATAAGCTGTCGTGGTTTGTGTCTGAACTACCTGAAAAAGACATCTCAAATGTGGTGATCCAGTGTATAGGACCTAAATCCTTTACTCCTTTCTTTTTAGCGACCGGATGAAGGGCCAAATGAATCAATCTCATCAATAGGAGTGGCTTTAAGCTGTGCCCTAGCGGCCGCGATATTGGGCACAGCGGCAATCGTATTTGTCACGCGTCGTATCTTGAAAAGCCGTTCGACAGTGAATTACGAAATATTACGTGAGCCTCTGAGACACGAGACAAAGAAATATCAATTTTCATCGTAATAAAACGGTTTGGGGAGAATTAGGAGAAGTCAATATAAAGATAAATATATAGTCAGCTAGGCAGGCATGGGGGTCTGGTGCCAAATTATTTTCGTATACTAGGTGCCCCATACTGTATCACTGTATGGTGACAATTTCAAATGTATTGACCGAGCAGTTTATATTAATAGTGAACAATTTAGTGACTAGATGATGCGCAGTTCCTTCTAGTAAAACCCACCTAATGCGAATAGGTTTAGTAGCAAAAAGCCATAGAACAATTTGTCAACTAATTTACAGTCAGCAAAAGGGTGGAATTTCAGTCTATATTAGATAAAATCATGGCACTTTGCCAGATAGTATGAATATGTGTTAAGAAAAGGTGTGGTTTATTAGCTAGTTCAATTATGAGATCAACTCTTCATACACAATGTAAAACAAGTGTTTATTACAAACATACAAATCACTAAAAATTAAATTATTAAATATATTACTATTAGTCTAATTTTTTACAATTATAAATGCTGCTTTACAATAATAAGTTAGAAATTGATATACATATTAAAATATTAAAACTACAGTGTTATACAATTATAAATAACTATGTTTATAAACAATAAAAAGTTTAAAAGTTTTGCAAGACTTCTCCACGATAGCTACAACTTTTTACTCAAAACCTTCTAACACACAAAAATCTACAAAATCTTATGCACATGAACCAATATTGATCAAACTAAGTTCTTCTGAATTCACTCTCAAGATGCAGACTTCGCTAAAACAAAAAATAGAATATTTTAATGTAATTTTTTGAACCCAATAAGGACATTGCATAACATCAATGATAAGTACTTGTAAAGTAACAATGAACAACCGGGAGGTATGGAGAACAGTGGGATTTTCAAAACAATGAAAAGACAAAATGAAACATTCTGATCACTGGATCATGACTGGATGATATGGAGAACAGTGGGATTCTCAAAACAATGAAAAGACAATGGAACATTCCAACCATTGGATCATGACTGAACGATATGGAGAACGGTGGGAATTTTGAAAACAATGAAAAAACAATGAAACATTCTTATCACTGGATCATGACCTGATGATATGGAGAACTTGAATATAACTCACCAGTTAAAATTCTTCCAATCTTGTTAGCATCATGTCTACTTAAAAAGTTATCCAAAGTGTCCCAACCTCCACCCACTCGAACCATCACATGGTGGCGGAGAATCTATAACAACATTTTTTGGGTCAGCTTCTGTTGAAGGTCATTCATAAATATCAACATTTTCACAAGCACGTGCAGAGAGTAGTCTTTTTTCTGACCCCTCCCAGAGCATACTTTTAAATGTTGAAAACATTGTATACTTATGAAAATATATATTTGTATACTTGTGAAAATGTTGATAATTACAGATGACCCCTAAGACTGGTTGGAAATTTATCTGGTTGGTTTCCATCTGATTTGGAAATGGGTCATTCTGGAAAAGATCCACCCCTGCCTTTAAGGAGGAAATTTCTGCCATCCAGACGGGGATGGGAGAAACATTTCTGATAATAGTAAGTGTATTAGGACATCCAAAGGGGTTGGGGTGTATCTTCCAACTTCCTCCATGGGGGATGTATTGATGTTTTCTGGAATGACCCAAATTAATAAATGTATCGACTTACTGGAATGGGTGTTTATGTTTCAATGTGATAATTCCAATATTTACAAAATATTGTGCTATTATTTTTACCCTAATAGAAATTTACCATAATATAATTTTATCGGGAAAAGCTAGGCAGCCAAACATAGTAGTTTTTACTCACTCTGACAAATATAGTAATTTTTCCTTCAACAATATACCGACCCTCCTTGACTTTTTGCATTTTCACTCCATGGGCTTTAGCTAGTTGTAACACCTAATAAAAGAGAAACTTAGTGGCATTCTCGAGTATTACTTAACAGCTAGGCCTTTAGACTACCTTAGAGATTGGATGCAAAATCCAATGCCTACCAAACTAAATCCTGGAAAACATTTGTGTGCTTCTTAAAAAAAGAAATGGCTTGCCTCTCAGTGACAATGAGCTGCAGTTAGCAAATACAGTGGCAGGCATTTATTTTGTTCATTTCCTTAAGATGCCAAGGTTCATATTGTACCGCTAATGCTGACCATAACAGGACAGGCAGGCATACTTAAATCTAAAGCTTGGAATAAGGTCTTCAAGTAAAAGAATTTTTAAGTATCCCAAAACCACAACATGGATCTTGCTTGGATGGATCTAACTTTTTGATAAAAACTCAATATAATTATACCCACCTCTTTGTCAAGTGACAGTTGTTTCTCAACATTATTATTACTTTGTTTGACCAACGCTTTCTCTTCCTTTGCAGGTTTCACTTCAACCACCTCTTCCTTCACTTCCGGCCCTCCTTCCTTCTCCTCGTTAGCAATCTCAGCATCAATTTCCTTCTCCAAAGTAACAATACCGGGAGGCTCAATGCCGTAATCAGCTGCAAGCCTTGCAACCTCTAGCAGACACAGGATCACTTCACGAGGCTGTTTATGCATAACCAAGCCATCTGATTCGAACAGGACTGACTCACTGACTCCAAAACATCTGCACCAGTCCAAAAAGAATGCCACGTTATCCCTTGCAAAAAATGTGCCAGACTTCGCTTTCTTGTGGTAGCGAAACTCGTACCTCGGCACAGAGTTCTTGGTTTTCCCAGCTTGGTAATACTCTTCCGCGGCACGATGAACCAATTCTGCAACTTTCGATACAAGCACGCCATTATCAAGAAACTCCATAAAATTTTCAACTGTAATGTCAACGTCAAATAATTTGTTTAACCAATCCACTAAATCTTCCTTCAAAGGGGCTAAGGTCTCCTCAGCTTTTTCTGCAATACATGCTGAAATATCCAAAGGCGAGACTTCATCTGAGACATTCATGCTTTCTCTAATTGCAATGTACAGGTTTAAAATGACTTACAAAAATTATGACAATTAGTTTCCAAACTTAATTTCCACGCCAAAACACATTAAAATCCGTTTAACATATAAATCTCGTCTAAAGTATTAGCTTGAGATGTTTAAGGCTTCTTGGCATTACATTTCTATTGCCAAAAGCAAAATAAAACGGTTAAAAATAAAAGATATCACTAAAATTATCAAATGTTCACTCCCAATCGCCCGCCATTTTGAAACCGTCATTTCAAGTATTTCAAGAATTCATGGAGCGCCACGCCAAAGTATCCCCCCGGAAAATTTGCTTCAAAACTAAAATTTACCTCAATTTGAATTTTAAATTTTGATGTACTTTCATATTCCGGGGGGTTATTTGTAAAGAAGAGACCGTGTGATAACAGTCGGAAAATGCCGACTGCTTGTCGTCAGATACTCGTCCAGCTTATTATAAATTCAACAAAATTAAACGTGCAAAATGCTAATAATTGACGGGCATACTCTGGGTACGAAATCGAGCAGTTTCGGAAAACCCTATTTAACCTAAGCTTCGAAAACATCCCCAAAACAGGGTTCCTCGCCTATTATTGCTGACTCAGCTCTCACGTGAGAGTGTGAGACTAGATCTCAGGTCACTGCAAAAAGCTATGGCTGTAGACCGGCTTATTTAAAACTATCAAAATTAAATTTTCATGGTCCAGTGATTTCTGACGGGTGGCAGTCAAAACATTATATACAATTTCATACAAAAAAAATTACAACCGGCGAAACGAAGCTAATTTAAATTTTACACTTGCAAAGATTTCAATCGAAAAACTATGGTACAAATAGAATAGCGAAAAGTCGAACCGAAACTAGCAAAGTTGTTTGCTGTTTTATCAGTTCCACGAGGCCCAGTAAGAGGTATCCCTTATTGGGTCCAACCCAGTTTTACCACAGGCGAATTTAAACAAGAACTACAATAATATGACACTAATGAGAAAGTATCTGATGCACATAATTATGAAACTGATCGCGTCCACCATTTTCATGCATCATAAAGGGGACACAATAAAGATTCTCGAGTCGCCTGTACAGACGCGATTTATTACGTGATATTTCAACCTGTCAATATGTTTTTGCTTTTGCATGTGACGACATCTCGAAAGATTTAAGTCTCAAAATAAACACGACCGAGGGATTTTCCTTGCAAAGAACGAAAAAGAACTGAAAATTGGTTAAAATTACGGAATAATCTAGGTAAGTCGCGCGCTGTGTTACACGTTTTGTCTTAAAAAGTATAGAGTGCCGTTTAATTGTGTGAAATGAGTCAAAATTTCAGACGGATTTGTTCGCGGGAACTCTGGCACCAGTCACACAAAGTATACTAATAAAAACAAGCTTTATATCTTCTATTTATTTTGTACTATAGAAAGTTAGAGTCGGTCTCATATTTCTGTCAATATTAATAGTTAATTCTTGAAGTAAAATCCGATACAAAAATCCGAACATTTTCCTTTCATGATCGAGAAATTAAAAGGTCATTATAATTAACATGTGATCATCTGAAGTGTCCAACCTGTTCATATATGTATTTTCCTTACCGGAAAATAATGAAAAACTACGATATTTCAAACGCCCTATATCGGCCAAGAAACTTATAGAACATAATAGTCAGCAGAACGATTGTTGGCAAGGTTTGTATTAGAAATATCTTAAAAAGATTAAAAACAGTTCTAGCGATGTTGAGTGTCAGGAGAATGATTTTGGTACTTACGTCCGGACCAAGAAGGAGAAACGTCTTCGCTCCGAATATTAAGGTGTTTTTAAGTTTTCGGATAATTCATACAGACTCAAACCACGGCAGATTATTGTAAATTTATTGTCTAACAGCAGCGGTACAACTACCTAATAAATTAGAAACATAAATTTGATGTTTCGAGTGAAGGCCTTAATAACTTCCCAATCGACGGAGGGCCTTCTCTTGAAACGTTGAAATTCTGTTTATATTTTTTAGGCAGTTGTGTCTCCTGTTTGTAGTATCATCGCTACCTATACACTAGTACAGACGTTTCGAGAATTTACTCTGCCTACACTGGACGGCCATATTTTGAAATATTTTAACTGAGATATAACTGAAAATACCTGGTGCATATATAGATCCCAAAGTCGGATCGGAAAACTGCAGCATATAGTTTGAAGTTCTGATAGCTTTGTGCTTCTTTGTAATGAATAATCTGTATCGTCTTAATTTCTAAAGGTCGACAGAAAAAGGAAATGACGATAGCTGTTTTGCTTCTTAGCCTCTGGGCAATAACAGGTCAGTATATGCGCATAAAAATGAAATACAAATAAAATTTAGTTTAGTTTAGGTTTCCTCCTGCAGTAACACTGAATAAGAAATGAGTCTTACTGGACCTCCAGGGAGAACAGTTTAGAACTGATAGAGCTATCCACTATAAATAAAGTTAGTTTAGTTTAGCTTTCCTCCTGCAGTAACACTGAATAATGACTCTTACTGGACCTCCAGGGAGAACAGTTTAGAACAGATAGAGCTATCCACTATAAATAAAGTTAGTTTAGTTTAGCTTTCCTCCTGCAGTAAGACTGAATAATGACTCTTACTGGACCTCCAGGGAGAACAGTTTAGAACTGATAGAGCTACCACTATAAATAAAGTTAGTCTAGTTTAGCTTTCCTCCCGGTAACACTAGATTAATAAGAGATGATCCTTACAGGACCTCTATGGAAAACAGTTTAGAACTAATAAAGCTATATCCGGTAAAAATAAAGGTCGTTTAGTTCAGGTTTCCGCCTGTAATAGTGACGTACACCAATTACTAGCTATACCATTCTATTTTCTTCAGCAACGAAAGCTGGTCCCATAGCTGCGCCAGCGGCACCAGCCGCGCCAGTTGTCCCCGCCCCTCCTGCCCCTCCCGCAGCTCCCGCAACCCCAGCTACAACACCGGCAGCAACCAAGGCGCCAGTTGTAGCTCCAGCTGATCTCGTCGGTAAGTGTGGAGTGATATTTCACAACATTAACGCATGACTACTAAGACCAGAATTCCTCGCGGGCATCAAGCCTTGTGACGTCATTATGCATAAGGTCTATCATAACATGAATTCAAGACAGAATAATCGGGGTAAAGACCTACCTAAAATGATCACGTTTTGTGATTGGCTTTCAGAAACAAACTCAGAAACAAAAACGATCGTTCTTTAGAAAGACGATTTCTATAGTTTTATTGTTTTTCATTGTTATAATCAACCAACCACGAGCCTGGATAGCATAGGTAGATGATGACCCAATAATCGTAGTGTATTGCTAAATAAACTTTGCAATAATTAATTTAGAAGCTTTCTAATCGAACTGTCTTTCCAGATCCGTGGAACAATTTCTCCTTTCGATCACAACTTCATAATTGCCTCTGCACAATTTTTTCATTGATATTATTAATAAGTACTATAGCGTAGTTTCTCGTGCAATTTGGAAAAACCAACACCATGCCCGTAACTAGGATTTTAGATTTACCGAGTCGAGTCGTCGGGGCATACTAGAAAATGTTTGATTTTCTAAGGCTTAGAAACGCTATTCCTTCATTCTGGGAGCAAGGCCAATAAAAAATCAGTAATGATAAACAGTGTCAGTGACACAATAACTATAATTTCATAGTGTCTCATGCACAATTTTACTACAAGTATCCAATCATAAGAATTCAAGTACTCTTGGTCCAACATGATCAGGTGCATAAAAAAAGTGCTTGTGGTAATATTTGGGACGCTAATTCGTACTTCTACCCTTCATCAGAAATTGAATAAATTTCATTCAGGATCTATTCTCTCTAAACTTGAAATCTTTCTGTTTTGAATTTTTTCACAAAAAGTCTTACCGAGTCAACTGACTCGTTGACTGACTCGGTTGACTCATAGCTAGTTGCGGGCTTGAACACACGTTAGTTTTCGAATTGGCAATTCCAGCTGTTAATTTATGTGCGCATGGGGTGGCCGGAAGTAATTAAGGTATCATATTGCTGATTACGCTGAAAAATTTCAATAAAAACTGCCGAAACAACCGAAATATTTCAATATTTACAAGTATTAGCCATCACTCCGTGTCTACACGGCCGCCATTCAGTTATATTTTTTCAGCATAATCAGCAATATGATATGATACCTTACTTCCCATCCTCCCCTCAGTCCCCCGCACGCATAAACTAAAAGCTGGAATTGCCTATTCGGCAGTAAAATAATCATTGCTATATTTCTTCTCAGCTTCAAAATACAAAGTTTCCTTCAAGTTAGCAAACGTGAAATATGATGAGGGTCTATTATCGTACGACAGTGCTGTTTATCAAGCCTACGCAGGAAAAATTGAAAAAGCGGTAAGAGATTCTAATTACCTCTATTCATTCAATATCTTTTCCAGGGGCGCCGGAAGCAACATGAAGCGGCAAGGGAAGCCCAGGGGCGAAACTTGAGGGAGGTATAGGGGGGGTATCCCCCAAGATACGAATCATCCCGATTGGCAGGGCAATTATGAGTACAATTTTAAGTGATAGAATGTAAAGTTATTAAGTAACTTATGGAATGTAGACTAGATTATTACAGCTAGCAAACAACAAGCAGTTCGTATGCATGTACATTGGCATCGGCAGTTCAATTATACACGTAGCTTAGTGATGTATTGTCAGGGCATCATTGGTTTTGGCAGGGAAATTCTGCCAGACACCCCCCTAATTAAAAGGGGCCACTTTCGCCCCCTTGGGAAGCCATTTAAAAAGGGCACTTACTTCTGAGATATAAGCCCCGCTTACACTACGCTCGATTTTTGGTACGGCACGGATAAAATTGGTACCCGTACCACTTTTTTGTTCTTGGATTACCTATTTAGGTAGTCCAAGAACCAAAAAGTGGTACGGTACCAAAAATTGAGCGTAGTGTAAACGGGGCTTAGCTAAATAGATAGTCCAAGAACCAAAAAAAGTTGTACGGGTACCAATTTTATCCGTGCCGTACCAAAAATTGAGCGTAGTGTAAACGGGGCTATAATCTATTCTTGAACTGTGCCAATGTGTTGTGCCAATAATATTTAAAACAAGCTTTCGTTAGTAGGGACGCAACTACCTGAAAAATATAAGGAGAATTTCGACATTTCGAGCGAAGATCCTTCGTCTGGGGTAGGTAGCCTACTTACTACTTACTCCAGACAAAGGGCCTTCGCTCGAAACGTCGAAATTCTCCTTATATTTTTTTCAGGTAGTTACGTCCCTACCATAGATATCTTATATACACTAGATAGCGCATCTTTTTTAGTAAAATTGAAGCCAAAAATATCCCAGCGGTTACCCCCATTTGAATGGATGGCGGCCATGTTGGTCGTTCCCACTTGCTAATAAACGCTTAAAAACAACAATAACTTTCATCATTTGAATAGTTTAAAACGTATTTGGAATAGGGTTAACTTAATGTTACAGTTCCCTGTTTAAGAAACAGAAAACATACGAATCTTCTCATTTCATGGGAACGACCTGAGACTGCAATCACGGCTTCAATTTTTGAATTGCAGAATAATTAGATGCACTATCTAGTGTATATAAGATATCTATGGTCCCTACCAACGAAAGTTTGTTAATACACTTGAGCCTGTATAATCAATCAACTTAATATAAATTATCCTTTATTAGATTATGAACTTATATGCTGATGATAATGCTTATAGAGAAATGAAAATGATTGGATTTAGGTAAGATATTATTACTGCTCCAAACAGGGACGTCGGAACTGGGGGCAGGAGGGGCAGCCGCCCCCGTTGCCCTTTACCAGGAGGGGCAAGGGGGGCAAAGGTGCCCTTTCAATTTAAAGGATTGCCTTGGCGAAATAGAGAATTGACAGAAATGTTAGTGCAATTCTTTTACGAATTTGCTTCAGAAAACGCAAGAAATGCAGTCATCGAGCTTCAAGAATAGCACAATCGCCTGGCGGAGAACCCCCTCACACCCCTATCATCCAATAAATAGAAAAAATGATTAGGCAAAGTTTAACTCCCGATGTTTTGCAAACATCAGGCTTAGTATATATCAATTCAAAAGTGCCCTTTCACGAAAATCTGCCCCTCTTGCCTTCACATCGTTCCGGCGTTCCTGGCTCCAAATAGAATCATGTGAATTCATGATTCAAGATTTGGGCATCTTACTCGATAAAAATGTTTATGTAAGAGATGGAAATTACGAGTGTAAATTATATCCATTCTTCAGGAACGAAAGTGGGGTTATCGCTGATATTACTCTACGATTTGGAAATGACAGTAAAAATCTTGTTAGCCTTGATAGTATGGTTAAACTTGGAGCACTAGGGACACTTCCAGTCGACCCTGCTTCATTAAAAGCTGGTAAGTTGGAGATATTGTTCATTACTCTACTAAGTAAATTTTAACATATATTTGCATTACGCGCGGGAAAAATAACCATTTTTGGGCCGAAAGTCGTTATTTTTACAGCGCGAATACAAATACATACATGATTTGCGAACTTCACAGGGCTATCAGTTTTCTTCATTTTACAACATTTAGCAACCAATCTTTGCAGTTTTACACATTCTAAAATGCTCTTTCTAGCTGTGGTGTTGGATTTCGTACTTCTTGCCTTGATCAAAATTTAGTGTATAGCTGGAATCACCCACTGATACCATGTTTCTTTTATCTTTCAGAAAAGGACGAATCAGTACCACCAATGGCCATGGGTTATGGTTGTGGCCAACCATGTGGTGTCCAACAGCAATCGCCCTGTTGTGGTGGAAGTAGCTCCTTCATGCAGCCTCCTATGATGGGACAACAACAATATGGCGCCCCTATGCCACCCATGGGAGGCTTGCCTGGAATGCCAATGCCTGGGATGCCAATGGCTGGACCCCAAATGCCTTTCCCGCCGACAGGACAGGGCATGCAGATGGGTGGGGCAGGGCAGTGCCCTGGTCAGTGTCCAGGCTCCTGTGCGCCATCCTGCCAACAATCGTGCTGTGGAGGCGGTGCAGGGCAGGTGAGCCCACCGATGATGGGCTAAAGACAAGATCTTTACAGCGCATGACGGAAAAGAACTGATTACCGATACACGAACACCAAACTTTGCAAATTATCATCGAAGCATAAATCGATATATCTTCGTGAATAGACAATGAATAATATCCAGAATAAGTAAAATAGACTGTCCTTTTTCAATATGATTAATTCCATTAAGCAGTTTCTACTAGGCTAATATTCCTCCTGAGTTTCATATGTATAATACTTATAACAATACCTTTACTAATAAGTATAAATAAATCTCGGTTTCTGAGGTTTCTTATACATGTATATTGTGAATAAATTTTTCAAACTTTGAGCAGATTAAGTTGGTTGGGTATAAAAGCAAGCCGCGTTCTTGTCAACACGGCCGTCAGATTGCTGAGGGGACTGGATTACGGTAAAAACTGTGTTTGTGTCAGTTTGTAGTAATCTTTAACACATCTGACAAAACGTAAGATTTTTGAAGTGTTTTGCTTCCTTACACGAGCGATATGATGCAAAATACCGCCAAAATTAGTTATACCAATTTTCGTCCACGTAGCTTGCTTAAAGATCGCTAATATCAACCGAAAATGAAGACGTTTTGAACCCCGTGTTGACACAGTATCTTAAAGGTGATGTAAAGTCCGTAATGTAAACAAACGCTTTGTTTACATTTTGAACTCAGTGCTACAGTTGCAAAATATGATTAGATATATATTATACTGAATTATTAACACTTTTCTGGTTCGTTATGCTTGTAAATGAATACAGACTAGAGATTCAATTCAAGAAAGTTCGGAAGGGGCGAAATATTAACAACATTTCAAAGGTTGCTCCCCCACTGATGGAATGTTTTGATGCGCAGAATATATGCGCAGAACGGACTTTACCGCATCTTTAATTAATTAAGTTTCTATGAGAGCACAAACTGATAATTACATAATAAAGCACCACGTGTATGTGGGCGAGCCGTATGGCTTCAATTTCGAAAGCAGTAAACAATATAAATGCTATCAATTCATGCGCTACAACCAAAAAACAATTTCTTAAATTTTCTCCAAGCAAAGTCACACTATACAATAGTAACTCGGAAAAGGTTAAACATTTTGAAAAGTGTTTGATTCGACATTTCGACTAGATTTTAGTCATCAGGAATGATGAAATTACAAGCCACACTATTGAATACATAAAATGAATCATTTGAGTTAAATAATTTACCAAATTATATACAGAGAGTACAGCATTATATTGATGGTGAAGATAGATTTTATTTTTAACCATAACTCGAACACTAGAGAAGTTCAGATTCTGACTTCCGCCACGGCACGGCTACTATTAACGAATTTGATGCGTATAATCTACCAGATTAACTAATCAATTAAGCCTTTGAGTTAAAAGCACCTCGCATAATGTTGCGAGTACCGCGTATAATGTCGAGAGCACCTCGTATAACGATAAAAGCACCACGTATAATGCTAAAAGCACCGGATGAAATGAAATTTAACCACTTAAGACACCTATGGCTTTCCATAGTCAAGTCTGAACCTGTATATTATCTTGTTTATCTACGTATCAATATTAACGCTGTCATATAAGGTGAGATTAGTTAATTACTTTCCAAACATAAAATAGAGCGGGAACCGCACTACGGTCTAGGGACACCGGACACATGCTGAAAATTGTTGAATAATTTATAGAATACATAAAGAATCGCATTTGACTATCAAATTACTTGCACGCCGAGTGAAACCTGCATAATTACATAGACAATATAACGCTACTATATGATACTGACAGACTTGCCAAGAAATACCTTAACTCTGCCACTGTTCTAAATATCTACAAACCTTGAGGCCACACTAAATATCAAGATCACACGCAAAGAGAACAAGCGATTGAACAATCAATCTGAAGCTTTTTCAGCTTTAGTTTAATCCCATAATCCCCACAGTATCTAATGAGCATAAACTAAACACCATAAAAGATACATAGACATATACATATACATATACAGTCAATTAATTTCCACTTCTAAAGAGCTAGAAGAGTCAAGTCTACAATATAGAAACACGTCAGGAAAGTCAATTGAACACTGATTGGATTCAACACTTTTTATTGCAATAGTATCAGGTTACACTGATCCTTTCATCATAGTCCACCCAACTGTGTAAATATTTGAGCGAGTATTGTAACATTAAACCGACACGCAAAGCCCAAGGGAAGACAGTCATATGATCGAACGGAACGTGCTGAAACGACGCAACCCTTCAAAGCAACCTTTATTGAATTCCGACAACGTTAGCTTCAATATGGCTGCAGCAACATTAACAAGGGGACGAATTGTTGGTATCGTGGTGGCTGTCGTTGTATTATTCGTGTTGGGTTTTGTAATAGGCTGGGTATCAGCGCCGAGCGATGAGGATTCCACCATTCGGGTATCAGCGCCGAGCGATAAGAATTCCACTTGTGGCGATCAGAATTCCACTTCTAGCGAAATGTACGATATGAAATATATTGCGAAGAAACGCAAGGAAGAAATGAAGACGAAAGATAATTTCCATGAAAAGTTGATTGGAATTCTAAACGCTGATACAATCGGTGAAAATCTTAGGTAAGCGATATGATGAGTCTCAAGCATTCCAGTGTCAAGTCCATATCGTCAAGTCCATATTACGGGAATCAAAGCTCGGTTACAGAAGAGACAGAAACCAGCTTTGAACACCCACGCCAAAACTCATTTTCACACGACCAGCGGGACCTGGGCTCTCACAATCCAATAGTATTTACTGCTGACAGTGTCGATCTAACGTTCAATGTCGATCAAATACTCATACAATATCCATTGGCCCTTGGGTTCTGTATTGTGTAATAAACTGCCGTACCTTAATTGAGACAATGCATGCAGAACAGCCTGAAAAAGTCGTTCAAACTTCGAGCGATTTGTGGGATGTTTTAAAATCTTTTTCAAGGCCCTGTCACACCATTGCGTATGAGAGATATGTATGAGAAGCGTTATACAAAAACCTTTGAAATACCAGCATATGCATGAGTACCGTACATCTGGCGTACCTCTAGCGTATTCAGCGTATATACGCTTTTTAATTAAATTAAGCATTCTTAAAAAAACGTGTCAGCATATGCCAGCATATGCGTACCCTGGATTCCAGAGCCTTCGACAGTAAATAATAGCGAGCTTAAGATCTACAACGCGAACTTACGACGCGGACGTCGCATTAAACAAGTTTTATTTTAAAACGATCACAGTAAATAAAATGAAATTATACTGGAAAAAATGTACAACATAACAGAGGCTAGCAATATATTAAGAACATATTTTTTATCATAAGTTTTTACGACTTCTATGACGACGAATCTTTGCAAATATCACGTCGTCTCGGATGGTAGTTTTGGCGGGAAAATGTGCATTCGTAACAATAGTCTATAAAGCCTGGTTTCTATCATTTCGTATGGCTGTTAACGTGTCATCACAGTGTCACAAATCTCAAAGAAATAAACTCTGACAACTCTGACTAGGCTTACACGCGAACACTAGGCTTCGGTAAGCACGTCCGCGTCACAAATTCGCGTTGTAGATCTTAAGCTCCCTAATAAATTGAAACGTCGCGAAGGCTCCGATTCAACGGGGAGATTTTTTATTAAACTGCGCCAATCACAAAACAGAATTAGTGGTTTTAGTACAGATTCTGTACTAAAACTACTAATTCTGTTTTGTGATTGGCGCGGTTTAATCAAAGAATCTCCCCGTTGAACCAGAGCCTTCGCGACGTTTCAATTTATTATTTACTGTCGAAGGCTCTGGATCCAGTGTAGCATATGCGACCGTGCTTAGTGAAACGTATACAATCTATGCCTAACGTGCCCCTAGCGTATGTCAGCGTTTTTCCGCGTATGAGTGATATTTTTCATATGCTGGCCGGCATACGCTAGTACGATACGCAATAGTATGACTGTATGACAGGGTCTTCGGGTAGTTCAAACGCAAATCACGGCAGCCTAGCTCAAACAGCTTATTTAATGCAGAGTTACAAAAAGTGTCCTTCCTCCAGTTAATATTTCACGTTTTCAAACCTTCCCCAAAATAATATGAATAAATTGATTTTCGGCTTTTTCAATTTGCAAAATATACAAATTACGTCATTCAAAATCGGCTTTTTATTCCTATTTTCTACTGACTAGTATTTAGCATTGATCAGCTGGCTGATTGTATTGTACTCACATACACGTACAAACAAACAGTACAGGCTGGCGATCCGCTAGCAGATGCATATTTAATTTTAGCGACGATTTTGCGATGTGAATTCGCATACAAAAGTATAGAGTCGCTTTTCAGAAGTAAACAATGGACCATTCCCCAATTAACCAAAATTTTGATCTCAACAAGTCTAGGCAAAATTCCATCATAGCATGAAAGAGCATCACAAAATTAGTAATATTCCCAAGTTTCGTTGCGAAATGTTGTAAAATGCGGATAATATAGCCTTGCGAAATTTGCAATTTTCAGTCATTTTAGATTACAAACGGGAAATGGTTACCACTTTTCCAAAATTTTGATCTTAACTAGCCTAAACAAAAATTTCATCACACCTTGAAAGAGCATCACAAAATTAGTAATATTCCAAAGTTTCGTTGCAAAATGTTGTAAAATGCGGATACTATAGCCTTGCGAAGTTTGTAATTTTCAGTCATTTTGTATTACGCACAGAAGTGGTAACCATATTTCCCGTTTGTAATCTAAAATGACTGAAAATTGCAAATTTCGCAAGGCTATATTTTTTACAACATTTTGCAATGAAACTTTGGAATATTACTGATTTTGTGATGCTTTTTCAAGCTGTGATGAAATTTTTGTCTAGACTTGTTGAGTTCAAAATTTTGGTTAATTGGAAAATGGTCCATTCTCTGAGTCTTTTGCATGTCATTCATTCGACTATCACATTTGCCAGGAGGAGAAAACTCGCCAACAGAATTGCTGGTGTGAACCCATTAAACTATAAATAAACTGGAAGGCTAACTCAGGGGG